CCGACACGCGTCAGTCCGAACCACTGAGAGCCCATTTTCAGCGAAAGCCACCGCCTGTGAGAGTAAAAGGAGAATAAAACGCCGCTAACCTTCCTCTTCTTGGAGATCTGCACCGCCATCTTCCAACAGCCGGAGACAGGAAAGGACGCGCTCAGGAGGCGGAAATGCTTTTGTACCAAAGTGGCCAACTTCCGCTGACGTCATTTCAGGCTGTCTCTGGGAATTGTAGTTTTTTGCTATAGATGCCACAGCATGAATGAGTGACACAGTGATATACAGAGAGCGTCTCCTGTTTTCAGCGCAAGTTTAAAAAAAAAAAAAAAAAACTCAGTAAAATATAAAAGATTGAAAAAAATTATAAATATAAATAAAAAAAAAAAACACAGGCGTCTTTAAGATAAGATCAAACTTTTTCATGCCAAAGGAAATCACTTTCCAGAGTACAATAAATAAAGGTTAGAGAAATACACACAGTGACAGAAAGGTTAGTAATTAAATAGAAATCAAACAGGAATACAAAGCATAGAATCTGAAGCGTCTACGTGTGTGTCTAAGTGTGTAAAGTGTCCAAGTGGATGCACAGAAATAGTTCAGTCCAGTTCTACAGTTTCATCAACAGACGCTTTTATCCAGAGCCACGTCCATCTGAGAGCAGATCCAGCACCAGCAAGGATCTGGTCAGGAGAAACCAACCTGGATCAGAGCCATAGAACAGGTCCAGTGTGGTAGTTGGTGCCAACAGCAGGCTGGAGGGAGGTGATAGGATTTGTTTGTTTGTTTGTTTGTTTGTTTGTTTCCAGGCTGTCAGGTGCAGAGGTGTTGAGTGAAGAGCTGCTCTTCAGTCTGTTCTTACAGACTGAGAGGGAGTCAGCAGGTTGAACAGTTTGGTAACTGGTTCCACCACCAGAACCACGGAGGAGGAGAGTCCAGCTACCGACCTGGACCTGTTGTGGTGGTTGGACCAGGAGGTTCTGGTTGGTCCAGTTAGTGAGCAGAGGGAGTGTAGACCTGAAGAAGAGAGTTCAGGCAGGAGGAGATGTTCTCTCTGTGGTTCTGTGTTCAGTGTCAGAGTTTGGATTTGATGCAGCTGGAAGTACAAACACGTCAGCTGAGTATGTGGCTGCAGAGGCTGACAGGTGTTGTCCGTGAGCATCCTGCTGTCTGACAGCTCCACACAGACTCCAGCTCAACCCCCAGGACAGAGCTGTGGAGTCTGTTAGTGTCGGCTGCCTTCAGCCTGCTGCCAGCACACCACAGCGTAGAAGATGACGCTGGAGACCACCGAGTGATGAAACATCTGCAGCCTCCTGAGGAAGGACAGTCGGCTCCGACCCTTCTCATACACAGCACCTGTGTTTACAGTCCAATCCAGCTGTTGCCTATGTGGACACCAGGTAGTTGCAGTAATCCACGATGTCCCCCACTGATCCCTCAATGGGGACTGGGTTCAGGCAGGTTCTCTGTCTTCTGAAGTCCATCACCAGCTCCTTCGTCCTCGAGATGTTGAGATGCAGGTGGTTCGGTCCCCCTGCTGATACTACGGCAGAGTCGTCTGAAAACTTCTTCAGATGGCAGGACTGAGACCAGAACCTGAGGCGTGAGGTGTAGAGGTTGAACAGGAAAGGAGACAGAACCGGTGATGTCCCCGTGCCTCTGAGGGTGGGTCCAGTGGAGCCTCAACCTTCATGGCCAGCAGCTCATCGCTGAGCAGGGCCGGCCCCATGGTGTTGGACGCACCGGATGGATTAACCTGAATCCTTAAATAATTTACATTCATTCGTTTTGAAAGAAAGTAAATAATGAGGTCTTGTGGACGTGTTGGCGTTTGCTGCCCTCCAGTGACCACAATGAGGAACTACAGCCAAACTGATGCTTAAACTCTTGTGTTTTAGCTGATTAAACAGTTTTAGCGTGGCGTGGCGAAACTGGAGCACAGGAGAGTAGAGTTAGAAGCAGAATCAAGGTAACGAGCAGAGAATGAAAACGAGTACAAAACTGACGAGGGCTTTACAACAATCTGGCATCGACTTGTGGCTGCTGGCGTCTCAAACACTGGATACAGGTCTGAGGAGTGAATGGCAAGCCACACCTCGCCGTAGCTGGACCAATTGGCTGATTGTGATTCAAGACACCTGGTCACTGTCCCTCCGGCTTGATGCACAGGAAAAAATACCCAAAATGCTCCACTAGGTGGAGCCAAAGGCAGAGGTCATGTTAAAAGATCATTTAAAAAGAACCTTTATGACCATTTATCCTCCAATGTACAGATATAAGTGTTGCATAAAGGCTTAATAAAGCAAATATAATATATATATAATATATACGATATAAGATGAGGTGTGACTCTCGTATTAGGAATCAATAAAGTCTCTTTTATCCTTTCTCTCTTTAAGTAGCTTGAGGTATTTTAAAAAATCACTTATATTCCTCAGAAACAGAAAAAGCTTCAGCTGCAGATCAGAAACATCAAATAGAAAAAGTTCCTCCATAAATATCAACACTTAGCAAACAGAAAGTTTTCATCTGGAAAACTGAGCCAGAAGGAAACTGTGGGACTATTTTCAGCAGTGGATGAGTCAAGGCTTCAGCAGCAGGACGGTGTTCGGCTCTGAGGTCCTGAAGGTTTCTGGAAACATGAAGCTCAGTTTTATTCATGACCAGACGAACAAACTCCAGACCGACAGGAACCAGGTCAGCTCGTCTCTCCGATCAGCGTGTTTAAACCGCAGTTAAATCATTTCACAGTAAATCAGTTGCTGCTCATTCATCAGATCTCAGCAAACAGAAGGAAACATACATTAAAGGAGAATTCACAGCAGCTCTGTCAAAAATAAAAACAGTCCCCAGACAAACTTGTCTGATCTAAAGGAGCCTGAGCAGATGAGTTATTTAAAAGAGAGATCAGACAGTAGCAGGTGAACTGCATCGGATTATAAACCAGCGTTCATCCGGATCGGTTTCAGAAAAACGTCCTCACCGTCCTGCTGCGTTCGGTTAGTTCTAGTACGGATTGATGCAGGAGATCCGACTGGTCCAAAGGAGGGAGGAGGTCGGACATCAGGAGGTTACGGTTAGGGAAGGAGGAGGAGGAGAGAAAGAGGAAGAGGAGGAAGAGGAAGATAAAAGCTAGTTATTTTTTGGTTAAAATGGTAAAAAGGACTAAAATGTTTAAACATTGGTGAAATATTTCAACGTTGTACACGGTTAAAAAGTCTTTTTAAGGGTTTTACTTTATAGTATTTTCTTTTTATAATAAAAAATCAAAATGATAACTGTAAATATATTTCTGAAACTACATAAAAGTTTTTACAAGTGAACATATTCTTTGTAAAATGCCTCAAACAGCCTGAAGCTGGACGAAGCTTTTTAGTCTCAGAGTCATGAGATTTCATTTAGTTACAGGATTTTTCTGCAACATCAGCAATATCATGTCAAATGACATAAAACCAGTGACGGTGGACCACAGACACCATAAAACCAGTGACAGTGGACCACAGACACCATAAAACCAGTGAC